GCTTGTGTTTGGGTGAGCCCTGCAAACTGCATTGGCAAAGGGAAACAAGGGTCATGCATGCTGAAGCAATACTGGTCTCTCCCTAAGCCGCAGCAGACAGACAGAGGAAATATATTCACCCAAGTTATTAGCTGACCTGAATGGACCAGAAGATGTCACTTTCTCCCTGACCCAGCTCCAGGGAGACAAGAGCAGGGAGCTGGACTCAGTGATCCTAATGGGTCCCTTCCAACTTGAGATACTCTATAATTCTATGACTCTATAATACCTCCTGCTGAGGCACTCCATGCTCCCACTTACTCTGCACTGCAGAAATCCAGCCAGGGCTTATAGCCACTTACCCTCTGGCATTCAGGGGTTTGGGGCACCAAAACTAGACCAAAGCTTTTCCTTGTCCCCCTGTTTGTGAGCCTACGGGAGGCGATGACTGCCTGCAGTGGTGGCTATGACAGGTCATGCTGTGCTGGCAGAGGCAGGATGGGTGCTGGGGATGACAGTGTTCCTCGTGCTTTGCCATGCCCGTATGAGGACATTAGTCAGATGTGCTGTGCATCCTCAACCTTATGCCACCCTCAGGTGTTTCCCTTCAAAGACAATATAAGCATAATACTGACTTTCTAACAGGATGTCCCATGCAGCACACTCACTACGCTTGGACTTTCACTGTCATTTGCCAATGTTTTGTAACATTGAGACTAGAAAGTTCAGTTACTGTGCCAAAAAGAAAGCATCCTACAGGCTGGGATAGAAGTGTGGGCAATGCTTGTTCTAAATCGGTTATTAAAAACTGTTATATCCTCTGGCAGAGAAGGCTGGGAAACCCTGCCTTTAAATATACCTTTTTAATATTGATTTCTGCTTACTGCCATGAGGCATGCCAGCTTAATGAATGAGGATAATATTATTCTAGTGCCTGCTATTTAGTAATGTGTCCCAGAATGGGTCCCAGGTGTACATTTTGGTAACTATTCCAGCTGTGCATTTGAATCCATCATTGAAATTCACCATGGTATAGGGGTAGAAATATTAAATGGCAAAATTTGGATCCCAGTTGAGATCCAACATCACGGTTATTGCATTGTTTAGATCTAGGGGTTTGGTTTGTTCTTTGATGTAATACCCACAGCTGAAACCCAAGTATTTCAGTGATTTTGACCACATACTGCAGTCAGGGAGGGTGAAGGGTCTGATGTGTGGGCTTGGGCTGGGGCGAGGAGGAGACTGCCACAATGCTGGGCACACTGTCCTGCTTCGTCCCAGTCTCTGCTAATGTTAAATGAGGATAATTAAGTTTTCCTTCCTCCCAGAAGAGCTGGAAGACAGCCTCTTGATAAGTTATTCCTGAAAGTGCTTGCCAACTGCTTCGATAGTCTGTAAATATTTTGCAGACACTCTTTAACTGCAAGCACATTACATTCCTGCTCCAAGTTTTTCAGGCTTTTTCCCAGCTTCCCAGCAATGCTGCTGCTGGAAGAGAAGAGGGAGGGCAGGGGCACACGGGGGTGGGAGAGAAGGGAGCAAGGCTCCAGATCAGGGCATCTAGGTGCAAGAACAAACAACCCAGGACCTCCTCCCAGGATGAGCAACTAAAGCAGCTTTGCAGTCTTCCCATGGTACCCAGTGGCTTCCCTGCACTGCTGTGCCAATGGGATGGACTTCCTGGGTTCAGATCAACAGGGCAGGACCCCTCAGCTGAGAGAGGAGACCACCGGTGGAGACTGTGCAGCCTCAGGGGGGCTGCAGCGAAGGTGCCCACCAGGCAGTGATCATCTGTTCTCTCACACCCTATGAAAACTGGAGGGCACCAAATGCAATTACCAGATGTTGCCTCAAAACAAGCAAAGGGAGGCTCTTTTTCATGTACATTTCAATTGTACATGAATTTCAATAAACCACAGAGCCTGCAGGATGCTTTGGTAGTTAAGCTTGCACATGAGTCCCAGAAGCGATTCCATAAATCCGTGAAAGAAAAAGAGGTCTGTGAAAGCTTATTACATATCATTTCTGGCACAGAACTGCTAAAGGGTGGGAGAGCACAACAGGGAAGTATTTGTACCTGTTTTGCTTCTCTTCCTAGGCACTTGTTGCTGGTCACGGTAAGAGTCAGGATATTAAGTCAGCCAGATCCTCGGTCTGTATGATTTTTATTGTTAATTTTTCTGTGAACAAAAAAGAGTTTCTGTCTGTTCAGGCTGGAGGGCAAAGCTTGAAAACAAGCACAAGACTCATGAAAATTCACTGTGGTAGTCCTCTGCTTTTTACACGGTCTATTATTTTAGAGTCTGGCTTGTTGGAGTGTTTGAAATTACCCATCCTGAGCTCCTCTGTGTCCGCTGGAGTCCAGGTCTGGACTTTAGGACCACAGTGGAGGAGAATTCTTTTTTACCTGCCTTTTACCTAGACAGTGCATTGATTCCCATCTACAGGTTGATTTTATCCCTTTTTTTCCCTTGGGTTTTTGAGACCACTGACTTCTCTGCAGAGCTGTGGTAGCAGAGTTTCAGTATTCTAACACGAGTGAAAGTTCCATTGCACAACAGCCCTTACTGAAACAGAAGCATGTGAAGAAGACAGATTCAAACCAGCAGACTTTATGGAATGGTTAAACCATCCTCCAAATTTTCCATTTTCAGCCCTTCTCTTACACATGTTTGGAAACAGCACCTCGGTCAAAATGGAAACATGCCATGGGAGTTTCTCCTCTGGAAGTCTTAGTTGCTAAGTCTTGCTGGACAGGAACCTTCATCCAATAGCAAATGTCTAGATGCATCAGCAGCACCAGAGTGTGGCAGGACAATCCAACTGTGAAGGCCCATCAGCCAGGCACTTCCAGCAGTTCTCAGAAGCTGTTCCAGGAAAAGTCATCATGCAGGAAAAGTAAATCCAGACCAGCACAAAACTAAAGGCTTTCTGAGTAAGCACCCTATGCCAGCAGGGACGCATGCAAGGCATCCATGAGAAAATAAGAAAGAAAGAAAGAAAAAGCAGTCACTCCAAAATAGGCAAGATAGTGAAACCATGGAAAAAACACAGAAGACTTCTTCTCACTTGCCTCCTTCTCTTGGCCTCACAGACCAGCACATCTGGTAGACTAAAGGCTGGAAAGAAAAGGCATGTAGCGGAGAGCCCCAGGGGCCTATCAGGGGCGTCGGCACTTGCCCCTGGGTTCTCTGATGCTGAAAAATAAGGTCTTACGCTATACTGCAATTGTAAACACAACCTGGGGCCAGGAGAGAAGGCCAAGTAAGCTCAACTCCCAGCCCCAGAAAAGAGTGTGGCTTTTAGGCAGTGTGACAGCGAGGACCAAAATATAACAAAATGCAGGCTCAGCCCTTCCAGGCAGCTGGAGCTCAAGTTATGTCCACGTTGCAAAATACCAGGCAATTTTTCCACTAAATTTGCAAAAAGAATGACAGAGATTCTATGGGTCACTTGCAAACTTCCCCTCATCAAATCAAAAGCAGTTATTTGCCTGATGATTGTACATTGTCAGGAAATTTGCTGCATTCTCCAGCAAGACTCCTGCCTCGTGCACTCTCCTGACAGTCACTCATGTTTGAGTCACTGAGACTCAAACAACCTCAGTCTATTTAAAATTGTCTAGCAAATTATTAATCACAGTTTTAATACCAGGATTCGTTTCTGTGTGAATTTGCACTTTAAAAGAAGTACTTGTAAATCTATTGAAGCAATCAGTGTCTGAGACTGGATGATGATTGCTGTCACTGCGGCTATAGCTGGCCAGATGGCGCTGCTCATATGAGGCTTGAATCTGGTACAAAATGCAATTGTTTCCTTTGTGTTCACAATGCACATGCCCCAGGCTCAAAAAAAAAACCCAGCACTTAAAACCCCACATAATTTTCAGAATACATTAATTCACAAAGTTTACGGTAACTTATTCCTGTGCCAAAAATAGACACTTTGCTTGTACAGCCGGTTTTCCTCCCCAGACACATGTGAAGATAGTAGTCATATCCCCCTCTGTCTTTTTCTGCTGGGTTTAACAAGGCAAATAAAGTTTGCTCTTGTAAGAGAACCTTTTCATTCACTTTTCCTTCACAGGCTGGTCCCCAGACAGCTGAGTCTGATGAGGGTGACCCAAACGTGACAAAGCTGCTGGTAGCTCTGAGTTAAGTTTCCCGTAGATAGGGTTAGACGAAAAGGCCTGGGTGTATTAATCGTCTGGATAGAGCTTTTAACATTTTTTATGAAGATGGAGTTGGCCATTTCTCTGCACTCCTGGTGGCTCAACAATTTCCACTATAAGCTTCTGTTTTCATTTGGTTTACATTTACCAAACTCGAATGTGTTCAGCCTCACATTTTCCACACTTGTAGTCTGCTCTGGGCTGGAATTTCTTTTCTCCATCTCAGGAAATAGGGATCATTTGTTTCCAAGAGCATGCCTGTGGAAAATTAGTTGTGAACATTAAACACATCCATCTGTTCCTTTGTGGGGCTTTACCACCTGCTTATAATGGAAAGGGACCTGAAATTTGGAAGGAGAAACTCTAGGGAGGCATCCTCTGTTGTCCCCATGAAAATCTACTCACAGTTAGTTACCTATGAATTTACGGAAAACCATCAACATCATTTTCACGTGCATCCACTAGAACATGATCCTGACCGTTATATGGGAAGGAGACCTGCTCCTCTTCACGGAGGAAAAGGGCTGTGGTACATCACACTGAGGACCATGCATGGCAAGCACCCCATCTCCTCACATGTTTCTGCCCATATCTTTGGCTCATTCCATCCAGCACAAGGTCCTGAAGATGACAAGGGTCTTCTGAAGCTTTGCTTTCAGGTAAGAACACAACTGACTTTTTAAATAAAAATGCCTACATGATGTATAGCCACAAATAAAGAGTAAAATTTTCAGGATAAAAATGTCAATATATTGTATAAGATTCCATCCCCTACAGAAATTTTCTCTCAGGAAATTCTACCATGAAGTATTGGCACCAGGATTGCTGGCATGCAGATCCCATACTGGCACAGGGGAGAATTAGTAATGGTGGATTTACACCTGACATTTGACATTTCACAGTTAAACTTTTCATGTTGTGCTACTAACCTGCAGCTCTGACAAGTGCAACCAGAGTGCAGGCATGAGTGCTACCCATGCACATCATAAAGCAAGTAAAATATATGGACAGACATCCAAGTTCTTAGAAGGTATGGTGTTCATACGCACGTAAAAGTGACAGGTGCAACAAAAGTATCCCAGCACCAAAATCTCCACTTATATACCTATCCATTCAAGGTGTGCAGACAGAACATTGATGTATAGTCTGAGGCTACGGACGAGGTGCAAAGCAAGAAATGATCATCAGCTGGTGCTGATATGACTCAGCTGCATTCATCTTGTCTGACTTCATCTTGCAGTTATCCAGTACATGCACTTTTGAACCAAATTATTATGGTCAGTTTTGATATACTATGCAAGAGGAGTCGACACTTAAAACACTGCACAATACAAACCTAAGTTTCTAGCTTCCTTACTAGCCTACATGGCTTTCATGTATTTGTGAAAGACCCAGACAAAAAATATCAAGAATATGCAAGAAATCAGTAAAGAGCAGCTGTAAAAAAAGAGGGGGGGGGAAAATAAAAGTGAGGAAATTACAAAAGAGGGTATTGGCCTCCCAGTATTTTCCTGTTTTGTACATCACAGCATAAACCTTTTTGAGACAGCAAAGTGGAAGGGTTTTCTTATTCAGGGGTATCTCCTGAAAGGAGAGAAATGGATGGATGTCTGGCAACTGAATGAGCTTTCGGGAAGAAAGTGCTATCAAGTCATGCTTCATACCAACCCAAGGCAGCAAAATTCATTAAGATTCAAGTGAGTTTGTTTTTTTTTTTTAATTCTTGTTTGAAACCTTTATGTAACCATTGAGTTAGCTATAAAAAAATAAATAAATTCATTGTCCAGGGAAAAAGAAAATGCTTACACTTGTGGTCTGAATCTTCTGCTACGCATGAAAACTGGAAATATCCCATAACTGTGCTGTTATACAAAGATTTAGCATAAACAAACAACTGTTGGTTAACTGTCATTCAGATATAGGACAAAGATCAAAGACTGCTGTCACAGTTCTACTGTATTGACTTTGGTTAGTTTTTTTCAGTTTTGTTCACCCGATTCCTGACATCCCAGTTGAAGTCATCGTATTTCAAAAGCTGCTGATCAACTTCAGATTTTTACCAAATCAGTGAACTCTCATTTTAGATGCTCTGCACTCAAGGAGGAGAGTGCCTGGTTGTGTATGAGAACATCTCAATGACTTGAAAATAAGGTTACATATGTAACTCACTATTCACTGGATCATGACACAGTTTTCAACAGCTTTGATTCATCTTTGCCTTTTCTCCTCCTGCCTCCTGAAATTAATGATTAAACAAGAAAAACAAGCAATGAATACTTTAGTTTAATGCCTAAGACTTTTTATTCCATTTGAGTGAATCAATACATTCCTTTATGAAATGGGAAGCAACAGTTAACATTGTACAATTTTATGTGCCATCTATTCTATTGTGGCAACAGAGAAGTTTGCAAATTTTTCCTGCATTGTGGTAGTAAATTTAAGACTCATTTACTCTGTGACTGGTGTTTCTGCAGAAGTCTCACAGTGAATGTAGTAAGTCTATCTGATATTCCATACAACATTATGTTTTATCTCTCTACTGCTATCTCATTTGTCATTCTAGCCTATATCACTTGATGTAAACAGTAATCTTGACATTAGCTTTAGAAGCAATGGTACTAATAGTATATGACATTAACAGTGTAAAACACTTCTTTGCACGTATCTCAAGCCCCCTAGTTTTCTGATACCCTTTATTAGTACCAGCACATACCAAGAGATCACTGGAAAGTCATCTTTCAGCCTAACAAGTAGAATGCAATGTTTTGTCTGGATACAGAGGAATTTGTTGACTGTTACTTTAGGTCTTACTTTCTTCATCCTGTCTGAAACTATAGCAATATCCTGCTACAGTCATACCAGTACAAATCTATCAACATCTGAGTGCAAAATCTGCTCCAGGGCATGTTTTTATATCTTGGAACACCAAATACATTTTCTTATTGTTATTTAGAGTAATTGCAACAGTAAAAGTCAGGTTTAAGACTTGGAAGCCTTATAAGAACACTTGCTTCCCAACATCTGGCTCGAGAAGAAAGGAGGTACAGCAGCAGAGGATATTAAATGCAAGAAGTGGCAAGGTCACTGACTGCACAGTTGACATAAGGAATGACCTTGTCATTCCTGGCCCCAGTAGAAAACCCAGCACTGGGTGGGCATAGCCTTTGGCAGCCCTGCTGCAGGTACCACAACGTGGTGCTGCTCCGGCTGAGCCCTGGCTCCCAGCACCAAGCCAGCACAGAGGCAAACATATATGTGATGTGGCTCCACCACCACTTTCACCCCTCCTCTACAAGGTAAGGAGGAACATTGGCCTTGTTTCTGGTGAGGGTCTCTAGACAGGAAGGTACCTCAAATAATAGCAGCATAGAGTGTTAGCATTGCAATAGGCAGCCAAACTCAGCTATCAGCTTTGTAACCTACCAGTGGGGTTTTTTTAGCCCTAAAGAAAAAAGTACAGCCTGTACCAAAAGCAAGTGTCTCAAAGGTCTGCTGTGCTCACACCCCCCAAAACCTCAGATCCGCAAGTGAGGTATTCCTCTCTCTCTTGTACTGCTTTGGGTTTTAGCTTGTTCTTCAGTAGTGTTCCTGTCTAGCTAGTTGCAAACAGGATTTGTGTTAACTTTTGTAATAAAAAAATAATTTAAAGAATATATTTCTATGCTTTCTATTTTCCATCTGTTTTTTGCATCAGTAGAACAGGAAGAGAGAAATTACTTCTCAAGACCAGCCAGTGCATACACAAGAATTGGAAATGCTCTCAGTGGTCTCTGCACAATCTAGGATACAGTCAAGGGAATAAATCAGGACTACAAACATAAACTCTCACTGTCTTGTGAGATATCTGAATGTGACTGGACTCACCAGAGACCAAATATTTGCACTATTATACCCAGATAAATGCCTGCTTTCTACTAAGTTATACTAATACAATGTGGAGAAAAATATAGTTCAAGTTGTCTACATTTTAAAGTCAGAGACTGAAAGGAAGTGGAGAAATGGGAAAATGAATAATGAAATCAAGAATACAGTTAGGAATAAAATGCTAGGAGGCTCTTATGAGCCTAAGCCATAAAGTGAAGCACAGATGAAATAACACAGTCAGTAACCACAGATAACGGTGCAAGTATAAATCCTGTAGCAAACACCACAGTACTATGTTTTCTCCCCGGGACGATGTTTTACCTGCTCTGAAATCCTCTGGTAAGTGACCAGTAGGAGAAGACATCCACTGTGTCATTTTAGAGGAGAGGAGAAGAATCTCCTCTGAAGAAAGAAGTTATACATAGCAGCCAAGGCTTTATTTTTATCAATGACTTCTCAAGCCAGCTGTGAACATTCACCCTTTTAATCACAGACTAATTAGGATCTACATATATCTAATCAAGACTGTAACTCTGAAGGTGCTCTAAATGCTTCTATAGGTAGTAGCGTATGTTTTAGCATACAGCACCTGGTGTTTCAACATTCAGGTAATCACACTGATGCTGAGGTAAAATCCAGACTTCTAGCACTAAACTTCAGAGGCAAGCAGTCACTTCCCGGTTACCCCATCCGTTTGTTTATTTTTTAGCAAGCTGCCTATTTAAAAAACAAAACACAACAGAAGTCACACTGAAAATAATTTGATTAAAATTTAGTTCAGATCATTGAGCCACCTGCGTTACTGCTGCGGCTGGTGGAAACTGTGGTCCTGTGGCTCTTCCCATCACCATCCAAAAGACAACGGCCAAAACAGTAATGCCACTTCATGTGCAGGTAGCAGAAACATTCAGCAGCTGCCCCTGCTGTTGCTCAGTCAGTTTTCCTTCTGCTGGCACCTTCATCTGTGGTTACAAGTCAGGGCCCTATGAAGCAGGCAGACAGCAAGACCAGTGTCAATCGATCATGTTGCCAGATCTTCCGCTGCTCATTTCCTGCAGCATAATCTGAAAGAAAGCCTGTTTCCATGCCTGAGCTGGTCTGGACAAAGATAAATCTGAAGGCTGCCTAGTGACTACTGTATAAACATACAGCAAGTCTGATGATCTAACCTACAAGGCTTTGGTTATTTGGTATAATTAAGTGGAGAAGATGCCAAGAAAATAATTACTGGAAAGTTTTCTTTTGAGAAACTTATGATAGAAATTTCTCAACAGCTTCAAGGAACTCCATGGATGAGCTAAGCCCTTCCAAGTCCAGCAGATTGCCCTTTTTGTCATGAAAGTGGAATAATTCAGTCTCTTCCTCTTCCAGTTCCTCTCGAAATAGGTTTGTCTCTGAGGTAGGAATGATGATGATGCGAGGGACTGCATTGCTAATGATGGAGCCCAGGACTCCGTTCACTTGACTTTCTTGAGCTGCTGTCTGTGGAGTACCTGAGCCCTCTCCTCCACTCACACTGCTGCTATTCAGACCAACAGGCAGAGAGGCTGCTTTTAGGGAGCTGCTCACAAGTGTTGCAGGGAGACCCTGTAGGACTGGCTGCCTAAGCACCTTCTCCAAACAGCTGGAGGAGAGTGAAACCTGGAATTGAGACATAAGTTTTAGTGTTGTCATACAGCATATGACTACAGAAACCAGTAGCAGAAATGTTCATTACCACTAGCCATTTTTTGAGTCACCAGTCATATTTTCTAAACACTTGAATCACTTACTAGAAAGAGAGAAAATCAGGTGTGTTAACATCTACAGCTTGGAAAGCAGAATGTTAAATGAGGCAAAAGAAAACATGCCTAAATATCATCAGAGACCGAAAAGAGAAGAAGGAAAAGAAAAGCCCATTCCTATATCTGACTTATTTTATGTTTCAAAAAAGCACTTCTCCCTTTTAACACATCTCAAGGTACCAGATAATTGCACTTCTCTCTGTGTCTCATTGGAGGGATCTCAGGTAAGACTCAAGCACACTGTATTCTTCATTTGCCTACACTTTCATCATCCTTGTGACAACCTCTGTCATGGTATCCCCAAACGGCTCCTGTTATTGTCTCAGGGCAGTCAGTGGCTTTGCATGTACTGGATAGTACTTCCACCAGCAAAGAAGAGAAAACCAGCAACTGCTATTTTGCTTTGCTAAACACTTCCCATCTGCCTTCTTTGAGAAAACTTAATTTCCTACTTCGCCCTGATGGCAACTCCCCCGTGACCTTTCCATAACTCTTTGTGCACAGTACGCAAATCCAGAGTAAACTAAATAAGCTTTTAAAGTATTGGTTAGTATTTAAATACATTGGCAATGGAAGGCATGAGTGATCAATTTTGGCTTGCTATAGAAAATGACAGTTCAGGTTATAAAATGCTACATACAGAGAAAAGCTAGAGGTCCCTCCTTCCTGGAGAAAATCAACATTTAACATAAAATGCAGTTTTTACCTCATTACTATGTGAATTCTCATGAAGACTAATGGAATTCAGCATACAACAAAGTTTTACCCAGATTGCTATGAAGCTTCTATCAGAGTAACAGTTCTATTCATTTCTCTTCATACACTTGTAAGGCGTATTAACTAGCTACACTGAGTCTCTCCATAGGTTGAGCTTCCCATAATAGTTTTGTAAATATTTTTCCTCTATTGCAGATATTTCTGTTCTAGTCATAAACCTCATTAATTCCACTTTAGTCTTCTTGAAGCATTCAGGCATGTAATTCCCATGGATTTATAGAGATTTGGTGCTAAAACATCTTTTTAAAATGTTAGATTGGTCTCTGGCATGATTACAGCCAGCAGGAGCTATAATTTGGCTCCTCTGTCTCCACGTAGTCCATGGCCTGTGATACTGCCTTTATACTGGGAAATCCTTAAATCAAAAAGGGAAAGGGGGGGAGGGAGAGGGAGTATAGTGGCTGGTTTTGGTTTTTAAGATTTAGGGGTCATTATCTCAGTAAGTAGTTTAGCAGAATATCTTATTGCATAGCACAAGTCAGTCTGATTTTACAGACAGAGAACAAAACATATTTGTTTTTCATACAAATTATGTTGTTAAAAAAAAACAACAAACCACAAGAGATTTTTTTAGTCTCTCTCTCTTCCCCTCTGTTTCTCTGTCAGTCTGGGTATAGAATAAGACACTAGTATATTCTGAAGGATTATGTAAATTTACTCCACAAGCAGCAATCATTCACTGATTCCTATTGATGAAGATTTCTCCAGCCACTCTACTTATCCAAGTGGAGGGAAGAACAATGTGCTAAAACCAGCAGTTTAAATCAACCTGAAAGACAAGAACAGTCCATTCTTCCAAATCAAAGTTAATTATAGAATGAAAAACCTAAAACCAGTCCTCCCTGCTTCAAGTGCGGTCTTCACCACAGCAGAAGGAAGAGTTTCTTTTGAATATGGACACCACTTCCAAGTTTTTTTAGTTTTCATGCCAGGTAATTCCTTTGGCAGGAATCCTGGATGCAGAGAGCACACTTGGCAACTCTCTTTTGAAATCAAGTATTCAAACCTATCTTCCACTCATAATACATGCCTGCATTTTAATGCTTCCAAAAAGGCCTCTTCACTGCCACACCAGGTTTCCAGATGTCAGTCTACATCAGGTCTGCTACCATCCTAACTAACTTCAGTAAGTCATGGGGTTAGAGCATATCTCTGTGGCAGCACAGAAAACAGTCCCATGTGTTTTGTGCTATGCAAAGCACCAAGCCAGGGACACTGATTGGCTTTTTAACTTTCACTTGAGGGATGCCTTTTCTTTTTTGACAACCCATCTGCAGCTGTGCATTAAGGAGTTTTGATCTCAGTCAGTGAAAAGAATTCAGACGTACATAATTTATCTATTTTGTTAAATCAGAAAGTTAGGTGACCCTGCACCAAATTCACACTTGTATTTCCATAACTGAGCATTTTTGAAAGTGCTATAATTGGAATCCAATCATAGACAATTCAGTAATGCTATTAAAACCTTAAATATCTAAAAACACAGTGGGGTTGGGTTTTTTTTGAGGATAAATGGGTGGCCACATAATGAAACACTCTAACTGATCTTGACAAATAAAAATTTATTCTGATAGAATTAATGTTGATGCATTGCATTTAGCTAACACACAAAGGACCTTCACGCCACGCAGGAATCTTTGCTAAGAAAAGCAAATGATGCTTTGAATATTCAATGTAAATGAATTCTACACATCTTGGTGAACAACACTGAAAGCCTCAACCTGAAAGTATTTTTGTTTAAAATACTTTTGTATTTATCAAAATAATTCAACAGATGTCTTTCAAGGACAAATTATAGCATCTGAGCCTTCTTGTGGGCTATGCAGCTGACAAATTCCAGAATCCAGGGTCATTTTCTTAATTGCTGAATACCTTTATGCAGACCACCTCAGATTTATTTTCCTTCTCCTTCCTTATGAGACTGAAAGCTGGTGGTTCTCCAGAACCTGAAGACAACCTCTTGTCTTTGATACTTAGCTACCACCTTGGACACGCTGGGCTAGTGATGGAGGACAGCAGAAGTGGGCAGAAGATTTGATTCCATGTTGCCTGCCACTACATTTGAATTCCTTGGTTTTCCATCAGTACTATTCACAACAGTTGCAGGGAAAGACCAAGGTTTCTCAGGACTTGATCTTAAGGAGACACATGAAAGAAGACAGGAAAGATGCATGCAGGAACCAGTTCATCGGCTGGCTGTAAATTTCCAGAACAGTTCCTGCTTTAAACTATGCTATCTCCAGACAATTAGCATCAGAGCTAGAAGGGAGCAGAAGGGACAGAAGCAGATGCTGTAGCTGACCAAGGTATGGATGTTTGGATACACACAACAGAGTAGCCCCATGAAAAGGTGCCTTCACCAAAAAGTGGGTGCTACTCAGTCCAGCCACACACAGAGGATTGTAAGCCTGCTTGGAAAAACAGCACTGATATATGCTTGACATTGTGCCACCCATACAAATAATCATTTTGAAACTGGGGTTACGGTTCTGGCAGATGCTGACTCATGGGTGACCTATTGCTTCCATCCTCAGAGGTTCCTTATGCAACAAAGTTTTCTTTGTCCAAAACTTCAACAGTTTGGGCAACGAGCATGATGCATCCACAGAAGATGCACTGAGTATTCACCATCTCCTCTTTCAGTGAGGGAAGGGTGGCAGCTGCGAGACTCTCCCACCCTTAGGGAGAAATGGGAGTTTCTTTCGAGACTTCCCCTTCAACAGAAATAAAACATTTTAATGTTTTTTTTTTCTGAAGGAAGGAAAAAAGTGGCCTCTATCATGTCAAACTCTTTTGCAGCCCTGGCTTTGTAGTAAAAGGAGGTTACCACAATGTGGACACAAGGGTCAGGATGTGAGGAAGCAGAACTGGGTTAGATAAACAGGAAAAGAGGCATTCAACTTCCTGCATTTGATGCCACTGACTGTGCTTCAACGCAGCTTTAGAGCTATGAGTCAATGCTGGCTTTCCAAAAACAGGCAACATATTAGTGAAAAAAAATGAATAAGGCATTATTGGCATTCTCTTTAGGTACAAAAAAAGAAATAAAGGCAATGACGAAGAGGACATCAGAATCAGGATAAATAAAGCCTTCAGAAGAAACAGGTGGTTATAAAGATTGGATTATTATTTCAGAGATTATGTGCTGTAGCAAGATTAACACTAAAATGGAGAGTCCCCAGCAGAGACTTTTTTCCTTACCTTTTCTGCAGTTGCTGCATTGTAGCTGCAGGTCTTTGGGAGCAGATCTCTCTTCTCCTGTCTTGGACTTGAGAAAGAGTGACTTCGGCATGGCTGCAGCTTCTTACGAGCTTGCTCTACAGGGTCAAGTTCTACATCACTCCAGGTCTAATAATAAATGATGAAGAATTTCAGACAGGTACATCCTTTCTCAAATTCTAAAAGTTCTCCAACTCTATCAGAAACCATGCACACCTATAGGAAACTAAAGCTGTTCTAACACAGGTCTCACCCTCAAAACTGCCCTGGGGAGAGGCTTGATTTTTAATCTTGCCACTTACCCTGGACTATTTTTCTGAACCAAAACAAAACTTTGAAATAATGAAAAATTAGTTATTCTCTTTTCACCAATATGTTTTACACCCTTTTTTATCTCATTGTTTGTGCTACGCTTATAGCTGCATAGTGCCTTAAGTCTAAAGATGAGAGCAAGTACAACCAATCTGTTTGGCTTATGGCAGTCTGCATGACCATCAGCTGGTACAAAACCATGGACATGGACAGGACCAAATCCACATTTGTATATATCCTAACTGGATACCCAGAACACCCAGGGCTTCTTAAGCCCCATGACCTCGCTTCTTCTTTGTACCATCATTAGCGGATGGGTCACAATGAGTGGGTTCTGTGCTGATTTTCTGATAGCATGCCAGTAAATGTAGCACTATCATGACATTGCAACCATGCCATTCTATTTACAGGCTTGGGAAGAGGCCATCTATCATCCTTAACTTTGTGGTGACTTTTTTAATTGAATATCAGTGATGAAACCGTTCCACTACTTTCCACACCAGCTTTTAGATATGGATGGATGGACAGAGGGACAGACAGGCTTCCACACAAGTGGGAAGCTAGTGCATAATTCCACTGCATCACCTTGCTCATGCATCTATGTATTGCCACCTTTTTATTTCTTCTCCCTTGTAGAATTAAACTGTAAATACAACTTTATATGACTTGTAAAAGCATTGTCTCCCTACACTAAGGACATAACATACAGAGGGAAGTGTTGGTGGCAACAGGTGCATCTTTTACAGTGTTGCTGGTGCCATTCCTGCTCATCAATACTTTAGGGGAGCATTCCAAACTTTCACTCAGTCCTGTTGCCATGCGAGAGTTGTTGAGCTTAGCTTTTATTTCAGCAGCTGCTGTTTCAGCTAAAATCTGTATAACTGCACTGAGCTGTTGGTTACCCCAAGAACAACTACCTTTGGCTGCATCCACTCACAACACAGTGCCGTACTTTACTAACAGCATTATTTGAGAATCCTAAGCCAAAGCTGTGCCAAAGACTGAAGCCTCTTATCCACATTATACCATGTCTTTAAACAGCACCCCCAATTAAATACACACAATAATCTGCTAACCCAAATGAACCAAAACCAAGTAGTGACCAACAGTGAAGAACAGAAAGCTTCTTGGATTAAGGTAGGTGATACAACTGAAATTACCTCATTTGACATCAAACAGTGGATTAATGGGGAGAAAGTGAAGGAATAAATTTAAGTCAAGGCAATTTAAAAGATGAAAGGGGCAAAAAAGAAGTTGGAAATAAGTAGACAAGGAGCCATCCCTGTCTTAAACTATGCCAACACATTTCCATGTCACTAGACCTGCTCTCTACAACCAGTGGATGAATCATAGAATTATAGAATAGAATCAGCTAGATTGGAAAATACCTTTAAGATCATCAAGTCCAGCTGTTACCCAGGACTGCCAAGTCCACCATTAGACCGTGTCACTGAGGGTCTCATCTACATGGATTTTGAACACTTCCAGGAACAGTGATTCCACCACTTCCCTGGGCAGCCTGGTCCAATGCCTGAGCACCCTTCTGGTGAAGAAATTTTTCCTAATATCCAGCTTAAACCTCCCCTGGAGCAGCTTGAGGCCATTTCCTCTTGTCCTATCGCTTGTTACTTGGGAGAAGAGACCAGCCATCTCCTCGTTCCATCCTCCTTTCAGGTAGTTGTAGACAAAGATAAGGTCCCCCTGAGCTTTCTTTTTCTCCTGACTAAACATCCCCAGTTCCTACAGCCATTCCTCATCAGGCTTGTGTTCCAGACCTTTCACCAGCTTTGTTGCCCTTCTCTGGACCCCCTCCAGCATCTCCATGTCTCTCTTGTAGTGAGAGGCTCAGAACTGAAAAGAGTGTTCTAGGTGAGGCCTCACAAGTGCCGAGTAGAGGGGGGCTGAAGCACAAGTGTAAACAGACAAGTAGTACCCATGATCTTAAGGGGAATCAGATACGTTTGTGTGCTGTGTTTGCTCAAGCAAAATACATATATATAATACATATATGTATATGCACACACACTCTTTTTCTAAAAGTAGGATATTGGCATGTTGCATATACTAACCTCATATTTCAAGGATGATCTGGGTATTTTACAGTTTACTGAATCATCACAGTTGATACTGTCATGCATCATTGTGTAATCAGTGGTCTGTGAATGGAATTAAGTCAGCAGGATAGATTATCTAACTTTAATTTACATTGCAAGAGAAATATTCATTTATTTCGTTAGAGCACTTAATCTATTTAAATATATATATGATAAATTTATTATTATTTAGAGCCAAGACAAATGCTAAATTTCATAGCCCATACAAAGTGAGTCACTCTTTTTTTTCTATGTTATTAAGGTTTTTGCCGTAATACAGAGATAAATATGAAAGCGCTTCCTGTGCCCTGAAGACTATGAGAGCCTAGGCAAGCAAATTAAAGCCAGGCTGGACGTGGTTCTGGGAAACCTGATTTAATTGAAGATGTACATGCTCATTGCAGGGGGTTTGGGCTAGATGACCTTTGAAGGTCCTTCCAACCCAAACTATTATATGACTTGGGATCCTCATGCTGTGCAGTACAGTAGTGTCACACTCCACAGGAGTCCTATCACACACTTCAAGCACACTTTGGCTCAAAGATGAACAACAGTACTCCAAAAAAGGCTTTGCTTGGGCTAAGAAAGGCCTTTCACACTTCCTTTTATTGTTTTATTTAAAAGAAATTTTATGATAGATGCATTTTATGAAACACCATAGAAAAAGACAAGGTCTCTCCTGAGAACTAGCTTATCCACTGCATGGTATTTAAACACCTTTTAATTTTGAGTGACAAAACACACCCCACTTAAGTAATTTCATGATGTTTAATCATCATTATACCTGTCTGTAAGGCAGTAATCCATAGGCTGTTTAGTGATAGCTAGGAACGTTGCTGTGATATGTGACATACAGCCACAAAGTGGAGGAGGATCCTTGCCCGCAAACGGTTCACAACTTCACAAGCTGTATGGCTGAGGCTACTCAGTAAAGCACAGCTAGTCACTTTAACTGGAAGTCTGCCTGATACGGCTGCATGGTTAATGTGCAAGAGCGGAAGCAGCAGCAGGGACTGCGAAGTAACCTGTCTTTCATAATGGGACAGACTTTGATTCATTAGGGCTCAGGCAGTGAGCCTTCCCTTCAGGCACTTAAAGTGTTTTTTTCATTTGTTGTTGGGTTTGAGGGTGTTTTTCATTCTGTTTTTGGATTTCTCAGCTAGGAGGCCTGAATTTCACGTCAGCACTCTGCGCATAGTGCTCGCATTGGCTGGGACTGCTTGGTTTCCCAGTGAACACTGCATTTTTTGCTCAGGTGCATTTGCTTTACAGTCTGTCTGCCATGAACAAGTTCAGAAATCTCCCTGGTGCTGCTACCTGAACAAAACTTCCATTCTCCAGCAGAAAATTCAATGCTAAATTATCTTATCTGAGGCTGGTGCACTTTCCTGGTGGTCCATTTCTACATTAAGGACCTCAGTCTAGCTGAAAATACTCACTGTCATTACAGTCTTACTGAAATGCAGCTCCATGGCTTGACTTTCAGCAGCAGCACCCTGAAAGCATGCAAATAACAGAGCCCCATCCTCACTTAGACAGCTGCCACCTGGCTCAAGGGGGGAGCCAAGAGTTTGACACTCAGTCTGTCACAGTGATTTATACCTTTGTGAAAGGTTACGGACTGCAGCCATTGCTCTGAAAGGTTTCTTACACCCAAGCTGAGTGTGGAGCAGTGCTGATCCCCAGCCCCAGCAATGGCAGACATCTCTCCCCAGAGCCAGCTTCCCAGCACCTCTGAGGGCAAGGCTGGCTTCTTGTGGCTTATAACGACAGAGGGAGTCATACCAAGAGGGGCTATGAAAACACTCCTTTTATTTCTAACTACTTGAATCACCAGCCTTACAAAACACCCCACCTTGCACTGGGTGCAGGAGTCTTCCACTCCTCATGGTTAAAATCCAGGGAAACAAATCAAAAGATTTTCTGTCCTGCAGGAAATGGACTTCCTTTAAACTAGTAAGACAGCTTTTCTATAGGTTTAAAAACTTTGGAAGGGAGACTGTTTTCCCCTCCTTCAGCTTCCTCAGATACTGAATTATAGGAAGTGGCTGGTGACATGGGGCGTGCCTGATAACGGCTCTTTTAAATTCACATTAAAGGCTTAACTGGGACATCCATGCTCCCAGTGAGCATCTGAACCATGCAGATGTGCTGCCTCTCCCTCCCCCCTTTTCCATTCTCTAATTTTGAATATGTATTTGTAGACTCACTTATTTTGGGAGTCGGAGAAACATTATACTCACTTTCCTTTACGGAAACAAGAAAAGACTTACAGTTTCTCCAGTGGAAACTGATGAAACACAAGTGCTCTTGGTCCTGCCAGCAAGAGACTGATGGCTGGAGAGAGAGGTCCTGAAAGATGACTCATTTATGGAGCCTCTCAGGAGGTCATTCTTCGATATTCGTATTAGGAACCTCAAGCAGGGAACAGCGTTGTGGATGGTTTTTCTGAAGGAATATGGGACAAGAAACAAAACAGATGGCACACTGATGAGACGGCTTTGAAAAAATCACACGGTGAAAGTACCATCTCTTTCCATAACCTCAGCACCTCTTCTGTTTTAATTGAGGAGGTCCTAAAGACTACATGGAAAAAGTGTGGTATATCTAGTGGAAACTACTTAATAGGCTGAAAGAAAAATAGCAGGTGCCTTCTGGGCCTCAGGTCAAAACACGTATGGAAGAGCTGCATGGATAAGTAATAAGAATTGAAAATATATTAAAGAATATGATTGCTTCTGATTTAATTACAAGGTTAGCCCAGAAAACTTTCCGGTTAGCTGGTATGAAGTTCTTCACTGTGCAAAGGCACAGGACAAGGGAAAAAAACAAAGGGAGAAAGGGGCAGAAGAACCAGATATTGCTATTTATTTTTATCATGGCAGGTCCTATTAGGAATTAACACTCCTTACAAGCACAGGGGAGAAGGATGATCTAGGCCCCAAAGAATTTTAAACCTTCCTTATTCATTAAATAATAATCTCAGTTATGATATTAAAGGTCTATTTCTCCTGACCCCACCCCTGGCCCCATATGGCACAGAAGAGCCCAAGAGCCTCCCCGTGCAATGCCAGCTGGACTTGCTCCTTGCTGCCACCAAGGACTGTGATGCAGGGTGATGCTAGCCACAGTGCTGGTTTGGTATGACACCTCCCCAGTGCCTCCCAGTCCATTATTTCAGCCCAACAGATGAAGTTAATACTGGCACAAAGCTAAATGAGCGAGCCAAGAAGCAAGTCAGCAACAAGGTGTATGGAAAACAACTGATGCACAGGACTTAAGGATCAGTGGAATATGTTTGAATACTGACTTCACACTGAGATGCAAGTCAAGCGGATATATATTGCAGAATCTTTGCTTCTATAGTTATCGGGTTTGTTGAATAATTAGTACATTTTAAGTCATCATTTCTGTTCTCAGAAAAGATCCTACACATTCAAGTCTCAGGGACCTGATTATGGGGTCACTAGTTTGTCAGTCAAAAACAAACCCACCACCACCACCAAACCCCACAAACCCCAATACTTGCCATCATCATGATTCTCAGTATACCAGACTCTTGTGTGTCCTTACTTATAACTTCAAAGGCAACTGAACTGCAATTCTGTGCCTACAGTGGAGACGAGGACTGAAGAAAGCTTCCTGTCACACCATTGTTCCTGATTCTGCTGAGATGCCTGCCAGCTGCTTGGAGGTGTAGAAGGCTGCCCACATGGTGCTGGATAAAAAAGGGAGCTAGTCTTGTGCAGAAAATAAGAAGTTTTGAGAATCAGCAGGGGTTTGCAGGACATGAGAAAATGCCAAGCCCCAGTAAGCTCATTTTCATATTGAAGACCTCAGGCTGGTGCTGAAAAAGCAGCTGACAGCTTTTATCCCCAGCTGAGAAGCTCAACCACTTCCCTAAGACATAGCTGTAACTTTTGATGTCAGCCACAGCCTACCTAGGGCTGTAAAGTATTCAAGAACTTCAGGTTTGTGTAAAACATACCATCCTGTTTATTAAGAAGGATTTCATGCAGAGACCTCTGCACGCTGAAGGTTCAGGAAATTTATATCTAATGATGAATTTTCAAAGACAATATAAGAACATTATTGATGCCTTGAGGGACCAGAGTTTCAGTTTTACTAATATTTGGGAGGACTGTTGAGGGACATTTTGTGGGCTGGAATGAAATAACAGGTTTTGAAATGTGTTTTAATACTGTATGTGTGAAGTATAAAGTAGGTATAAACTGAGGTGCTTATTTAATGGTATCTTTATAATCCTTTGAAATAAAAGTAAGCAAAACTGAAATATGCAGTAATTTCAAACACATTTTTGATAAAATAATACAAATAAAAAATATTTATGATTATTCAGCTGTTTATGATGGAGCACTTTAGAACAAGTAATTTTTGTATAATTGTGTTTCCCTTGGGAGCAAATTGGAAACACAAAGGTGCAGAATTTCCCTGCTTGCTATGAACAAATGACTACAAAACCTAAAACTTCCAAAATCTAAGAAAGTTTCTGCAATGACTAACACAGCGAAGTGACAGTCTCTCTCATAGAGATTGTTTAAGGAGTAAAAACTTTATTCCCACCCAAAACAGCATTTCCTGAATTAAAAATCTGTGCACATTTCCTTACTTATTCGTATTTATTATTTCTAGTGGCAGTTATCAGGAAGAGAAGTATTTTTCTTCTTTATCCTGGTGGCGAAGGGGGTTGGCAGGGGTATACAACAATTAACCTCTAGACCAGTTCTTAAAAGCCAAGTGCTAGCACAAAGGTCATTGTTACATTTTCTGTTACACCTTTGTAATTTACTTTTATTTTTCATTCCTTAGGGTAAGGAAACCCCACAAAAAGACTTCTCTGATTTGTTGGGGTGTTAAGATGCAGTGACAGCAATTCTCTGTGCAAAAAAGCCCCTTGCTGTTGTAGCTGTACATTTTTTTGGTTTGGGCCATATCTGAATTCTTTAGGTCCTGATTTCTAGATGCCTCCTTCTAGAAAGATCTGGAAAATAACATAGATTTAATTTGTTTTGGTAGTACCAATGCAAAATGGTAATTCATCCCCTGCATGAACCCTTAAGTCTTGGCCCTGATTTATCCATCATTAAATAAATTACTTTCAACTCATAACATGAATTATTAGAAAATTTGGAAAATACCCAAAAACACTGATCTCTACATACATATTCATTATTTACTGTTCAAGCAAAATTGGTCCTGCCAACATATTGTCACCAGCTCAGTTTCTGGTGTACTGTAGCTGCTTTTTCAGTTTTAAAACTGCATGTTTAATTGATCACAAGGGACCCAACAATACTGCTTTTCCTGACTTGAATACTCTCAGGTCTATGAAAAGCCTTCACAAGAACTCCGTAAACACTTCTCTTGTTGATATATTTAGAAATACAAATTAGGAAGCAGGGAAAAAGTAAAACAAAACACTTTTCAAGAGTGTCTGAAATCTTGTGGACTCCAGCCTTTTTCAGCTTTACTTGGAAAAGCCAATGCTGGTGATAGGAAAAAGACTAATTGAAGTAGTTTGCTCTATGGTATCTGCTTTGAAAACACTCACTTGACCTTGCAGAAATAATATAAGGAATCACTCAACATAATAGCTTTGGATCAGAAAAAATAATACCAGGTTCAAAATGGGTCAGCCAGCAATGCAAAACTTCTCATCAACTTCTGCAAGCCATAAGAGACTCGTCCTTCTCCTGTTCTAAATTAAAATTCCCTGGATCCTTCAGAAACTAAGATAAGCTCAGGTTCTTGGAGGATGTAAAATGATGTTAGTTATGATAACAGGCATTTTCAAGCATTATATATGTTTTCATTATTTCTGGGTGTATTTCCACCAGCTTTCTGAGAACCTTTAACTGTTCTTACAACCTCACTGTCATTTATTAGACATTCAAAACACTAAACTCAGTTTCCAGCTGCCAAATCCTAGTTCTCGGGCTATATAACTCAACAGCTTTTCCACTTCCTGGGTGAAACAAACCTCATACCGACGACTAACCCTGCCATCTAGTGGCATTCGTACATTTATCACATTTACCGCGGTGGCATAGCCATATTTCATCCATACTCAATGTAGCATCCTTTTGTGGAAGATACACTTTGAAAGACTTGCAGAAAAATCTAGAGATATGCTGAATAGCAGTTCATTATTATATAAAAAGCAAGATGCTTATATAGTATGTTTCACTGTGTACACGTTATGTACAGCTCTGGAAGGTCCAAGCTCTGAGCTATATACATGAGGTATAGCTTCTTTGGAGTGCCCTGCTGTGGGTTGCGAAGGTGGGAAAGAAAAAAACATTTAGCAGCCCACCTAATGCTGGAGATAGGGCTGAGAACACAATGGAGTCATCTCTCTTTCCTTACACTAACCAAACAAACGAAACGCTCAGAAACAACCCTCTAAAACCCCCAAATTTCACCAGATTTTTGGAAACCAAGTGTTTTAGAAGTTTTAACAGAAGTGACTCACTTTGCCAGGACCTGAACATGTTTCTCAGCTGAAGCTGGCAGGACATGTCTAAATAAAACATCGACTACAAAAAAGAAGTTTTAGCTTGCATAGTGTCTGGGAAGTGCAAGGTAAGTTTGTCCTTGTTTGAAATCATTCAGAAGAACACCACACCAGATTATTCCCTTGCAAAAATACTTTGTTAAGTCCTTTGTAACCCCTTCTAGGACCACATGACTGAGAACATAATCATTTTAGATGTGTCCATGCTCTGTATGCCTGCAGGTCCTAACTTGCACAAAGAGCAGGTGACCTTTCTAAAATGCAAGGTGGCTCCTTCTCATGCTTTCCTCAAATGTCAGGGAAGGCTGATCTGGTCTCTGGAGACCAATTGGGGTGCTCTAGAGAAGTTATTAAAGGAGATTATAATAGACTTTCTTCTGCAAAGGGAAAGGTTTCTGATTCTTTAGAGAAGTGTCTGTTATGGTATATTAAATTATCATTCTATTCACCTATTTCTGTAGATTTCCCATCAGAGAGACAGTATGGAAATCTTTTTACAATGCATCATTACCTTTCTAATCATCTACTCTGTGGGAACAAGTTATCTTCATACTCTGTTCCTTACGTTGCTGCAGTCAGAAAGGGCCTGGATAAAAATGCAGAATTCATAGCTTTCAGCTCAGAAACTCATTCACTGGCTGTCAGTGGCTTGAGAAGGAACTAAAAAGGCAAGAAAAGTTGGCTACCCATGCAGCTTATTGAGTCTGAATAGTGCTTGAGTATTTGTTAGTGAAACTGTGCTGGGTTGGCAGTGTTCTGTTTTAAAATACACAGTAATTGATATCTGTAATAATAAGTAGAATTATACTATAATTTGTTTATGTAGGCATAGGGTCAGAAATATTTTATGTCTGCAAAATCCATTCAGGTGTTTCAGAGAAGTGATCAACATTTTGCCCATTGAACCCCTTTAGTGTAGTGCAGAACTTTTTTAAGTCAAAGCTAATTTTTGAAAAAGCCAAGAATTGAGATTCTTTTCCCTGAACCAACTAAATTAAACAAATATGAAGCCAGCCTTCAGAAAATGCTTCTTTCCACAGAGTATTTCAGAAATGTTTGCTTTGTTTTTCAAAGGCAAATACTTGACCAAAGTTAGCAAGCCTGATAATGAAAAGGCAGTATTTTCAGTATATTTGGAAAACTTGCTCATTTGCATGGAGCTCTACCTGGATTACCAGCTTCCTACAGCTCTCAACTTTGCACAGAACTGCTATGAAAATGCTGTTTGCTTCTTACAGAGCTTCTCCCAAAGACCAACAACTTATTCACATTTGTACTGAAGCTGGTGTAAAGAGAACAACTGAAGTGCTTCAGAAAACCAAACCTTGAACATATACAGTTGCTTAAATTGGTGATGACAGGATTTTGAACCCTGCTGGTTGGGACCTATTATCTGGAGAAACCTTTTGCGGCTGTCCTTGATATGGCAAAAGATGTCCCTGAGTATCAGCTCCTTCTTATGTCAGTCACAGTGTTGTGCAGCCCCACAGGACAAAGCAGGGTTGTGAGGGGGAAGAAAGGTGAAGACAGGGACTGCTCTCCCCTGTTGGCCACCTCCGAGGCCACATCTGGAGCTCCATATGCTGTGCAGCTTGCCCTGTACCAGATGGATGCAGTGAAGGCTCTAATTATCTGGATCCCATCATGGGGTGATCAGGGCAGGAGCACACACTGCATGGGATAAGGGTGCAGGAATGAGTGTAGTTCATTTATTGTAAAAACCACAACTGTAAGTACAGTTACAGACATAATTATATGTTTACTGTACCTGTATCTTGGGTGAATTATTGCATATATGATGGGGTTGTAGATTGCAGAAGCTTTGGCAATAACTGCTGGCACAGATTTGGAATACGGTGTTAGGGTGTTGGCTCGACTAAAACAAAGCAAAAACATTACACACAGCTATGCCATGGATTGATATCAAATTATTAAAACATATTTATTACTCTTTTTGATGATTTTTGTGCTGCGTACTAAATGTTAATTCATTCACATGCATTCCTTGCTCAGAAGAAAGGCTTGCATTTGACAGCACATACTATGATTTCATTTATCTGGGGAAAATGGAACATTTGCAAATAATTAGTTATCTATTTGAGGGTAACCAGGAACATGTAGAATCACCTTCCCTGTTTCTACACCAGAGGAAAAAAAAAGTAAAATAAAATTAAAAAAAAGAAACAACACCACCCTAAATTAAGCCTACTGTGGCCATCTGGAAAAAGTGAATGGCAATAAAAAAAGGAAACAAGATCAAACCTAAAAGTCTTTCAGCAATAACATCTGTGCTGCACAGCAAAGGTTGTCAATGATTTAGTTGCAAACACTGCAGAAGGAAGAGAGGACTAGAAATTATTTGGAACCAATATTTTCTTCTTAACCCACAGCCAATCATGTCTGATCAGTGTCAGCAGTGGATAATTACAACTAATACAGAATCACAAAATAGTTTGGGTTAGAAGGGACCTTTAAAGATAATTCAGTTCCAACCTCCGCCAAGGGCAGGGACATCTTTCACTAGACAAGGTTGCTCCAAGCCCTGTCCGATCTGACCTTGAAATCAAGAATGTGCACTGGCAAGAAAACATGTCCCTTTGGAGCAGAGAGCAGCAAGCAGCTGGAGGAAGATGGGAGCTCAGGGGTGAATATGAGGGAATATAACTTATCTTCTGACCTTTGTCAGAGCCAGCAGTGTATGGAGGAAGCTTCTTGAGAGAACAGGTATTAGAAGAGATAAGTCCTCCAATTCATACAAAGAAAGTATCTTGGGGGAGAGGAAACAACGTATGCCAAAATGCAGATAGAAAGTCATAATAGTTTTAAAATACAAAGAAAAATAACCCCTTTTCTATCTTTATGGACAAGAATATAGTGAAGAATGCAATATCACCTGTAATATAATAACTATTTAAAAGCCTTTCAAAGGGAGATCTGCTTCTTGTGGGTACAGTAGTAATTATATTCATGTTTCAGCATAACCCATGCATCTTTGGATGTTTCCACTTACCCTGCCCAGGCAATCAAGGTGACACAAGCATATGGAGACCAGGACAAGACAAACACAATGATGACCACAAAAGCAATTTTTGCCAGTTTCCATTCATTCTTCATGGATTGAGAGAGGTAGGATTTCCTGCTGCAGGACCCTAGCTTTTGAACATCTCTGTGAGGGAAAAAGAATACAAACACATCAGCAGGAGAGTAAAAAAGTGAGGTGCAACATCTCTAATATGTTCTCAGCAATATGCAAAGTGAAGCAGATTTCATCTTTCCCTCCTCTACCTCTTCTTTTGTCCTCTGATATTTAAAAACTCTGGTAGTTCATGTAGTGAAATGGTCCCAGGCATTTTGTCTGAGCTTTGTTTGTGTGTGTAACTGTGGAATTGTGCCAGAAGAACCCCTGGGACTACAGCACAGAACTGCCGTGTCCTTATCCTATCACAAGGAGGGTTTCAGTTTGGGAGGGTAAAGAAATTGGCACCCCTTTCCCTACATTGCTCTCAATGGAGCAAGCAAAGGCACAGCTGGATGCAAAAATCAAATCTTATGGCTTTTGCTTTTCAAAGGAGTAACAGCTTGCAGAAATTCAGCTCGTGAAGTAATATGTGCTGGAACAGCCTGACTAATCTGAGGAACCTGGCCCCAAACGCTTACAGAGACATTCCCTGCAGATTCATTCACTGAAGAAGAGTCTTTTCAGAGCAGAGTACAATAGGTTGTCCTAATGTTTTTGCTAAAAAAAGGCCCAATCAAATTATCTTCTCATATCTGACGAACACCCTCCCAATTTATTAGAAAGATTGTTTCATATGGTTTAGCATAGAAATAACAATTTTTATATATCAATGTTTTTAAATGAAGATATATATGTCAGGGATTATTAGCCAGCAGGGTAACAAACTGTTTCCTGGTGCAGTATGAACATACTCATAAAGTGAGTGTACTGTATTAGTGAGCAAAAGGCACAGAAAAATCCTGTGGCCATTGGTGCTTCATCAGTGTACAAGACACCATTGTTTTTAAGATTCATTCTTAAAAGCCAAGACTAAGGACAAAATATAAAGTTCAGTAAGAAGTTCAATTTAGGCATATAGCTAAACATGTTTGTTTAAATGGAATTTAGCCTGGTGAAGCCAAACAACTTCAATAAGTGCCTAGGCACAGAGGAAAGCCATCAGTGCTGGTGACACTGAAAGCAGTGGGAAGGATTCGCAATCCCATCCGGTATTGGATCAGACTAGAGATAAGTCATGTGCTTATTACAAGGGAAATAACTAACCAAAATGAAGTTATTTTACAGATCTAAAACTGATGATTTTTTTTTTATTTCAAATCTAGACCAAGAATCTGGGAAAGAAAAAAGAAAGTGTACTAGCAAGCACAGCCAGATATTGTGTGTACAGTTGTAATGCTTGAGTGAATCACAAGGTTTTCTGGGATGCCTGCCTTAAATAAAACTGACAAAAAGTATGAGGAAATGTTATGTTTACAAGGCAGCTCAAAGGCAGATGATGCCCCCATTGCTACATGCTGAAAACTGTGCTGGAATGCACAAGGACCATGTTCCTTGTATCGCAAATCTGAGATACAAATAATCCAAACTATCAAAATATCTGATGTATTATTAACTACTGCACATTGTGATAAGATTAGAAACACCAGAGACTTCTTCCCCTACGCCAAAATACACACACCCATTCCAGCTTTTATATTGAGGAAAATATTTGTCTAGTCACAGTTGTTAATGATCTGCCACTTAATTTCCAGTTTCATTTAGGATTAATTTTTAATTCAGATTTTTCTGCAGCTGAAGAAATCGAGAAAGTGTTCTAATACAAGAAAAGGGAAATTTAGTTATTTCAGCTACATTGCTTACCTGCCAGTACGTCTTATGGCCAGGAACATAGATAAATAACAATGGAATATTATTATCAGGGGAATAAAAAACACGCAGCAACATAAAATCATGGTGTAACTTCGGTTTGCAGGGGAGTAGGTTACATAGTCCCATGTACAGGATATCATCAACCCCTCAGGCACATAGGAACCTATGAAATATATGGAATACATTATTCACACATACACCCAAAGCTTGCGCAGTTGCTGATCCAACAACTGAGCGCTTAAAATAAACCCTGTACTATATACATAGTCTGCAAGAGCTGGGTTGGCCATATTATATGTGTGATCTCGGAATGTGAGTGCATGTGTGGAGAGGAGCTCCTGACTGCCAGACTCTCATATACACCTAATACTCCATCTGCAGTTTGTTCTGCTTGAATGCAACCTGGTGTAAGGGGAGGAGGCTATCTGCTCTGCAACATATACAAATATTTGGTATGACAACAAACCATGAGGCAGTGGCTAGGCATCCTCCCAAGAATTTATTAAAGATCTCATTTGTACCCCAAGCAAGGCTAAAAGAGGCCACACAGGGAATACTAGAAGAGAGAGAGAGCGGACAACATACTCCACCCGAGGAGCGGAGCCACACTCCATGCCAGTGAGTACAGCCACACAACAGCGATGATCTGCATGGTGCGTTTCTTTGAGCTCCACTGTATGGATTGCAGGGGCTTAGTGATCACAAGGTAGCGGTCAACAGAAATAGCTAATAAAGTCATCATTGAAGTTATTCCGAAGAGTGCCCCACAGAAAGCGTACAAGTCACAGCCTGAAGCAGAAAACGGCAATGTCAGTGATTTTCGTAAAACAGATGCATGTTTTCTCTCAGAGTCTGACATGAAAAACCTCCCAAGTTTTTTCCTGGCTCAGTACTTCTCTCCCATTAGTAGGTTTTTCTTAGTCTCACAATTTCATGGTTATTAAAAGCTCATTAGAAAACCCACAAATACTAATAAAATACAAATATATGTATTTAACAAGTCCTACTCTCCCCTGTGGGCTGCAACTGGGAATCTTTTGTTAATGGAAAACTGCCTCAAATAAAATCCAATCTAATTAAAGTTACATTTTCCTGGATTATTGCCCAGTATATTGATCTTACCAGGCTGCAGCAGACATCTGTCTGCTAATGACAGATGAGTGTTTAAAACAATGGCTTTGGTTTATATGGCTTAAAAATGTAGAAGTGGTTTAAATCTGATGGTTAAAAGACCAGCTGGAGCACTTTTAAAAAAACTGTCAGTTTTTAAATGAAGCAGGGTTTTTTCTCCTTTTTTGCATTCACGCGTTGCACTAGCAGATGAAATATTGTAGAGTTAGACTGCGCCTAATTTGATTCAGAAGCCTGTGTCAAATGATCATTCATTTTTTGAGATCTTGTGTCAACCCATGTGGATATAGACAACAGCCCACTGGTAATAGGAGGCAGTCAAAACACTAGATTCAACCTTAAAGCAGACTTCTTCTAAAGTTTTTATAAATAACCTGCAATAAAGGACCGAATGCCACTCAACCCAAATCAATTGCTTCACTTTGTAGCAGCATGATTTTACAGTGATCTTATCTAAGGGCACGAACAGAACTAAAAACATCCTCAAATTGCAGAAGAGTCCCTTCTGCGCCACTAAATAATACATGGTCTCTGGGCTTGCTCCACCAATACACAACCACTATTTGGTGCAAATTTTCACCCAATGATGTGATCAGCAGCACTAAGCAGAGCATTGAGACTTCTGAAGAACTTGCTATACTCACATTTCAACTATAATTTGAGCATGCATCACTTTTGTTTTTTTACAGTTGGAAAGAAAGGAGCTTAAATTTGCAGAGTCCTCAACTGACTCTTGTTAGTTAATTCTCTTAATTAAATGTGAGATTCCTAGAAGCATGCTAGTGGATATCGGCATATATTTCTAAATAAAAATAACTCCCTCTTAAACTAATACAGCAAAAAATAATTACAACTTAATAAAACTTTTCTACCCATCTACAGTCATTGCATTTGCCCATACGAGCTAAAGGGTAAGATGATTACATGTTGATCTTGATTCCTTTCTTTCCAAAATAAGTAAGAGCAAAGAATGACATATGTAACGCAAAACATGCGCTATCATGCTGACTGATGTCACTCAAGAGCCTTGTGCTACTGTCTCCACAGCACAAGTCAAGGTTGTAATAGCTAAAATGGGCTGCAGGCAGTATAGAGCTGGTGAGAAACAAATTAATGTTGAAAAGTACCTATATCTCCAAGTATCCACTCTCTATGCAAGCTGTTGACAAAGCACATGGGTGCCTGAGAAGCTGACATCAGGAAGTCACTCACAGCCAAATTCATTATAAAGTAGTTTTGGGGTGTCCTCAGCTTCTTGTTGCTTAAAAACATGAGAAATAACATGATTTTAAATAGACAAAGTGAACAGTTAACTTTATAACTTGGCTTACTAGCATGAACAAATACTATCCAGTGGTTACTTACAGTCAGCCAATTGTTAATCGTCAAGCAATTACTGCAGCCACAGATGTAGTTATTTCAAAATGACAACTGACAAAAGCAGGTGGGATAAAATAGGTTGTTTCTACTTGAAAATGAGGAGAATTCTAGCTATCTTGAAAAATATTAATTTGTTCAGGACAAGAGCACTTCCCTATAAGTGCAGTAATACTGCAAGTGTCTGGCACTACACAAGACCAGGATCTGAAGCAGTTACAGAGCCAAAGAACCTCCTTTAGGTGAATTTTTAAAAGCTGCTGACCTCAGGAATCACCACATTACCACTGATTAAATGACCCTTTGCAAAGTGATGCAACACAAGCAAAGCATGCACAGAGATTTGAAATAAATACTTCTCATATACATCTTGTAAGGGAGAACAAAAGCTCTCAGCTGCAGATCGCAGGCAGCATTGAATTCCAGAACAGAGTGTGAAAGCAGCAGCCAGTCTGCAAGCAAAATTTATCCAAAGAAAATAAACATCACTTCCAGGGTTTTTTTCCCCACATCTCACCACTTCATGTAGCCTCACTTCATACAGATATCTGGAGTCACAACCACCTTGGAAACTTTTTGCTGGTATTCAAGGTTACCCTTGGCTCTGGCCAAGAGGAATACGGATACTGGTAGCATAATAAAGAACCTCTCACTTTTACTTAGGGTTATTTGGTTGAATATGCCCTTGTTGCTCTGATTGAATATTATGTCCCACTAGGAAAGTTAAGTTAATCTGTGAGTCTGTGAGTTCATGTCACCCAAATCTACCTTAAGACTGTCACTTTTGAAGGATATACTGAGAAGGCGTAACAGTGAACTAGTAGTCCTTCAATGTCAACCTCTGTATTAGTTGCATGGTGAAGTAAAGTGCTCTGATATCTAGCCTATGAATTCAGGGCTTTTCACAGAGTTGGTACATATAATGCAAAAAGAGGCAATTTGGCATACTCTTTGAGATATAGGGAAGAAGCAGGATTTATAAATAATTCTATTCTTACAAACTGCATGCAGTAATCTTAAAGACTTGTTTCTTCTCCCTCAAACACCTCCTTTAGTGTAGAAAGTTTAACAACTGAGGACTTTCTGATGTGCTTTAAAATACCACTATTTGCAGATAACATTAATTTCTTTCCTCATGCAGATAAAGTAATACTGAAAAAGAAATTGAAAAAGCCATCTCAGTGCTGCTGCAATTCTAACAAAACCTTGGGTCTACTGCATCAACTAGGTGAGAGAGTTCACACCTTTGCCTATGGAGATTTTCCTTCTTTGACAATTTAATGCTTTGATTGCAGCAGCTAAACAAAGAAATTTCAAGAAAAACAGAGCTTGCACTGCATTTCAAAAATCATGACGTTATCTACAGTTGCAGGGGATCCCATTTCTTCTCTACCTCATATTAAAAGCCAGTTATTCAAAATAACTAAACTATTTGTCATAAACATTTAAGAATAAAAAAAAACAATGCTTGGTTCATAACACCACCAGTGTTTCTAGCACTGTGAGCCCCCTCTGCATAAAACATGTATGATGACAGTAAGCAGTGAGCGAGGAGGATTTTGAAAGCCAGCATCACAGTGTAAGACAGAAGGTGCCTATTTTTTTTTCATTAGATTTTTGCATACTCCAGCTGCAGTAGCTTTGGCTGTCTATTACACTGGCACAAGCCAAGTGAGCAAACAAACTGACAGAAATCCTATGATCAGCCTGAAGCAGGAAATACACTGATGGCATGAGTTCATCTCATGTAGCACACATGTTTTCTTGGTCCTTCCAGGACATCTGGTCCTTCCAGGAGTATCAGTTTTTGTCAAGTATTTCCACACATTCTAAAGGGTGAGTGAGGAAGCCTGTAACTAAGAAACTGTGGTTTCTATCATTAAAAGTATTTAACTCTTCTTGCAAGATGTGAACCTTAAAACCAGTCATATGAACTGTAAAAGGAATTTTTGTACCTGTAAAACGCATAGAGGACTAGAAGGTTTCCAATGATGCCAATGGAGCCAATAATGAGCACGCATGTTCCTACAGTGTAAAGAACATAGTCAGGGATCTCTGCCTTGGTCACAGTGTGTGGCTGGGTGCCCATGTTGAAACCCTGAATGGAAAACAGAGGAAAAGGAAAGCTTAGCCCATTCAGGACACTTATTCCAGGAGACACTTGCTCAGCCTGTTGAAGTAAGGCAGAGCATTCACTTCCCCAGTTCATGCAAATCAAATATACACCTCTGAGTTCTTTTTACAGCCCCTAGCATCAAGTTTCCTCGAATAACTTTCATTACTTTAACAATACATATATTAAAAAGCACAACAGGGGAAACAGACTGGGGAAGAACACTAAGGAAGTTACAATGATGATGTGGAAAGGGCACAGACATACTAGCATAAAACTCACTCATGGTAACTGCTGCACTTTGAGGGCTCAGAGCTACCTGACAACACAAACTTCAGTTCAAAAAGGAATTGCCCGTCAGAGTTTGGTATTATTAGGAGCACTAATACCAAATCCCACTCTTAACAAACATTAAGTCCTCTGGGTCTCCCCAAACTCCCTATCCACTAATTTACAGTGCTTCAAAACCTGGGAATTCCCCATGGGAAAGGTAGGAGACCAGAGGTCAAACAGCAGTGTAGCATTGCCTGTGTAAGCACAAATACATTAAATAGTCTTAACACCTCTTTCACTGCCCTTTATCTCCAGCACATGAATAAACCCCCACTAACTCTCTTCTTTTTAAACAAATTCAGATTTATCACTGGCTAAACTCAGCAGAAGGGCAGCCTACAGCTAATCCACACAGCTCTCATTAGCATTATCAACAAGAAGAGTTTGAATTGCCTGATGGAGATGCTTATTGATCAAGGCAAAAGCAGCTAAGCCATGCAGAGTGCTCACGCAGGCAACTTGTCACAGCTAAGACCTGCTTCTCATTACTGCAGTTTTCTGGTGCACGGCTCAGTAATGTTCCAAGTGTCAGACAAAGCTGATTTTGGTCTGTGAGAGAGGAGCTGGGTGACAGAACAGGTTCAAGATACTAATTATCACCCCATTGGTAGAATTCAAGCAGTCATTTGAAAATGGTGAGAATAGCCTTTCTTTTTCCCTGCTGCTAGCTCCTTACCTCCCATACTGCTGCTTCTCCTTTCTGCCTTTTATTATTCCTCATTCATTTATGAAGTGCATACACTACAGCTCCCTCCTTGTACAACAGTTCTATCTTTGGACATTATCCCCTCAGCTGTACAACCCCGCTGGGGGTGCTCCCCAGGGTGGGTTGTGTTCAGAGATGGGGAGCACTGGGTGAGATGCATAACACAGCCCGAGCATCCACAGAACAGTGGGTCTGGAGCAGAAACACTGACAGAAAAGCTCCTGGGGCTGAAAAGATGTAGGAAATGGTACAAAAGCTATGTCTTCAAAGCAGAAAGCTGCCTTCAAGCCTTCTCGTCAGTCTGACGGGCTCTACCCATCATAGGGTGGCTACCACCAACATGACACCTCAACAAAGTTAACATCACTTTAGAAGTAGAAAGAAAGAAAGGGGAGCGTCTGCTGATGCTGGCTGCACCAGGAGGCTGCCACTGCTGTTCCCAGCAATTAGGCAGCAAGAAAAAATGTCACCCTGTGTAGCATTTACCCTTGAAGAAGGTGCAAGAGGTAGTGTCAGAGCAGGCAGTGCACAGGGAGGTCCTGCAAGGAAATGCAGCTGTGGCCATTCAGTGGCACCAAGCACAGGCTGCACCATGCTTTCAGAGCAGGACTGCCTGGGCACAGAAATTAACAACATTAAACTCCTTTCCTTATCCCTCAAACGTAATCTTAGCAGTGTGCGTGCACTGAATCAGAACCCTGCCTCATTTCTGGCAATGCATACCAAGGTGCCTAAACTGGGGAGAAATGGAAAGGATCCTTTTTCTTTTCTTCCTTTCCAGCTTATCTGTTGGGTATGCTCAGGATTTACACCTAAATACCTCTATATTCTTCTGTATAGAGGGTTATTATATAGGAATATTACACAGATCTAATTCAGGGCAAGTAGGACTTCCCTGTTTTATGTATTATGGTTTACTTCACCATATGGGTACTCACTGTTGCAGAAACTCATTTCAGAAATGCACTATGAATTTCACACCCAAAGGTGTCTCGCCTTATCTCTCTGCGGAAGAGATGCTGACTTGGATGTTTTGGCTTTGTTAATTCAGTTAAGGGTGATGAACTATGTCAAAAGCTGAAAATGCCTCATGTGACACATTTGTAAACTTAGATTACAGTTTGCTGGTGATATTGGATGAAATATAAACTACTAATGCTTACAGAGTGGAATTTGGAAGGCAGTAAGTACTCGGTGCTACACAGAGCCTTCAATCTCAGTGAGAAGCTAAAGTGAGGAATGCTTGGATTACAGAGGCTTTGAAGAAGGGATCTTGCCTTCAGAAGAGTCCATAAAATACTATTCCCTTTTGTGGCAATATTAATAGTAGTAAGAACAACTTTAAGATCCGAATGAAAAGACAGCTCCTTATTCACTCTGTTGGTGTTAGCCTGAGACAGTAGGATGTGTCAAGCACCCAGCTACATGAAATGTGGCAATCTGATAAAGACAGAAAACCATTTATAACACTAATATGGATCTAAGATGATAAATGTGCACACCTATGCGCATACATATATATATTCCAACAGAAAACCTCAACTTTGATTACTTTGAAGCTATTTGTACCTGTTTAGCCTGTTTTATTTAGAAAATTTCCACTAGTTTAATTAAATTATTTCTTTTATCAAAGAGAATTTATACTGTTTCACTCAAAAACCACAAATGTAAACAAGCAGCCCATGAAGATGTCAGTAATTGCAGCAGGGCCAGCTTCTGGCATCCTTGCCTATTCTGTACTCACTTTGTTTGGCTCCTTTTAAATTAATGCTACAGTCACTTGAGTTTTGGCTCTATAAGATGTTGGACTTGACAACTCTCATAAATCATGATGTGGCTTTACCCTTATATGTGATGTGACTACAACATCAAAATGCTGTCACCTACATGGCAGCTTGGAGGACTTTCCTGTCAGGGAAACCAAGAGATCTGCAGGCAAATAGAGAATAAACAATTAACAGCTGTCCCTCAACTAGCTGGCAACGGATGCAGGCACCAGATATAAAAATAAACTTGGTCTATTTCTCCCAAAATAAAGACGGAAAACTTAACAGATGAGGAAAGTTACTCTGTGAAAGCTTTTGTAATTTGATTTTTACTGACAAAATGATGTCCAAGTAATTAGAGCCATCTGTTTCTGTTTTCCAGCTAGTAAGCTTAATAAAGATTGCAATGCAGAAGACAAAAAAAAGTGGTTAAAAAAGGAGGGCAAGTGCAGGCTCCCTTCAGTGTTCAGGGGTAGAAAATACTGGATCGAATTCAGAAAGGGTTGTATGACTGGTATTAGGTGGATATAAGAGTATCTAAAGCTTTACTTACACTCTGATTTTGGTCATGGATGCAAGCTCATCTTATGGAAATGACACTGAAATGAGCTTAAGTAAGGGCTTGCTTACATGCGGGATTAATGCACACTAACAAGGGAGTGAATTAACAGCATAGCAGCCCCCCTTGGGCTGACCTGCTACATTGATTTACAACGTAGAAGTTTGATTTTACTGTATAAAACATTTAAGTCTGAAATTTCCAAGTGTAACTGTATAAAGAATAATAGTAAATAATACTTAGGTATGATGAGGTAGGAACAACCTGCATGTGCCAGATAGTTGGTAGTACTTGCCAAGTTCCTTGTAATTTCTGTGATGGTCAGTGTAAGAGGTAATTCAGTATGAAGCACCATCTGGTTTGAAATGACATTATTTGGGGCTTAGTGATTATATTGTACATAGGAACTCTTGAATCAGCAAATAGAAGACTATTGCTATGTGGTGACTACTGATGGTCAGACTTTTTTAAAATATATTTAAAATGAAAATTTGTGGAAAATATCAGTATCTTTGGGTATTAAAATAAACAAACAAACCCCAGCTAAAAACAAACCAACATCTGTGCTTGTTCTGGTTAAAAGTACTGCATTACAACATGGCACTGTAAGTACATATGAATTTGGTCCTCAGAAAGTCAAGTCAAAATGGTGATCATCCACACGTGGAAAAGCCACTTTTCTTACCAGTCTCTGGATGACACTCTCCTTTCACAGCTCATTCCAATCAGTTCACATGCCAAAACCAGGGGCACTCAAACACATATGCATTTAATTAAGAAAACAGTTGGTTAAGCAAATGGAACTGTAAATTTGATGCGGTTTATCCAAAAGTGACAAACAAGTACAGGAACTGCCAGTGCTGTGTACAACAGGACAAACAGCAAAGGCAGCCGGGTACCAAAGTCAGGCGTCTGCTCCAGATTTAGGCGGGTGTTTATCCAGTCAGAGGTCATAAGTTTCTGGAAAAAAGAATATTTTTCTATAATAAGATATGTATCTAGTTAATTCCATTCCAGCAAGTGCTTCTGGACTGTTACTGAAATGAACAGCCAGTTGAAAAAAGCTTTCAATACTTGCCTTCAAGACTCACTTGGGGTATGTATGCTTCACTTCACATGTTTAGCACAGCCCCTGCTTTGTTGACAGGATGCTTTCTTTCAGGTCCTCAGTATCTGTGCTTAAACTTCTCATAGTTGCAAGCAATCTAATGGTACATAGCTAATTGGTAGAAAAATCTCTTAAAAAATCCAAAAGAAAACCATCAAAACCTGATAAAGTTTTCAGTATCAGGAGAATATTCATATATATGAACTCATTATATTGGTTACTCAACAAGGTACTCAACAAGATGTCTGCATATCCAGCCTTATAAGTCAATGAAAGTAAGGGTTATCAATCACTAATATGTTTTATGATTAATAAGACATTAAAATAAAAATTATTCACATGAGAATAATACAATAAAAAGTAAACAATAAACATGAAAATAAGCGCAGCTGTAAAACAATCTGGCTTGTGTTCCACCTCAAGCACTAGTTACACCACTTGGGCAGGAATTAATAAATGCAAGGGTTTACTGCAAGGGTTTACTACAATTTTTTCAAGTTACTCTAGTGACTG